GATCTGGACGATGGCATTGAGTGCACCCTCAGTAAGTTCGCAGATGACACCAAGTTAGGTGCGTGTGTTGATCTGCTTGAGGGTAAGAAGGCTCTGCAGGAGAATCTGGATAGGCTGCACCGATGGGCTGAGGTCAACTGCACGAAGTTCAACAAGGCCAAGTGCCGGGTCCTGCACCTGGGGCACAACAACCCCAAGCAGAGCTACAGGCTGGGACATGAGTGGTTGGACAGCTGCCAGGCGGAGAAGGACCTGGGAGTATTGGTTGATAGTCGGCTAAATATGAGCCAGCAGTGTGCTCAGGTGGCCAAGAAGGCCAACAGCGTCCTGGCTTGTATAAGAAACAGTGTGGCCAGCAGGTCTAGGGAAGTGTTTGTCCCCCTGTACTTGGCTCTGGTGAGGGTGCACCTCGAGAACTGTGTTCAGTTTTGGGCCCCTCGCTACAAAAAGGACATGGAGGTGCTCGAGTGTGTCCAGAGAAGGGCAACGAATCTGGTGAGGCGTCTGGAGAACAAGTCCAACGAGGAGCGGCTGAATAAGCTGGGTTTGTTAAGCCTGGAGAAAAGGAGACTCAGAGGCGACCTTATCACTCTTTAGAAGTACATTAAAGCAGGCTGTAGCAAGGTGGGGGTTGGTCTATTCTCCCACGTGCCTGGTGACAGAACAAGGGGGAACGGGCTAAAGTTGCCCACCAGAGGTGTTTTAGGTTGGATATTAGGAAGAACTTCTTTACTGTGAGTGTTGTGAAGCATTGGAATGGGCTGCCCAGGGAAGTGGTGGAGTCACCGTCCCTGGAGGTTAAAAGACGTTTAGATGTTGAACTTAGCGATATGGTGTAGTGGAGGACTTACAATAAGGTCAGAGGTAGGACTAGGTGGTCTTGAGATCTCTTCCAACCTAGACAATTCTGTGATTCTGTGAGTGTCGCCCCATACTTGTGGTGGCTGTGTGAGGGAGAATTCTGTTAAATAATACTGGCCTCAGTAGAGACCCCAGAGGGACATCACTCCTCCCTGGTGTCCACCTGTGTACCAAGCTGTTGAGCGCAACTCTTGAGATGTGACCGTGCAGGCAATTCCTTATCTGCTGAGTGGCCCATCATGTCTTTCCATGGTAGTGAGAAGGAGCTATGTAAGAACATTGTCCAAACACTTCTTGAACACCAAGAGGCTTGGGCCCTGATGGCCACTTGAGACCTGCTTTTTGTTCTTCTTGTTGAGTGAAGTTGGAAGAGCGTTGGGAGAAGAAAGGAAGAGGAGGCATCTGAGAATATGGGATGCAGATTGATTTTATTGAGGAAAACATGAAACTGAGCGAGCGTCATGTGGAAGATGCACATTCTGAGGTGCCAAGAGGGCGACCACCAGGCTTCCGTAGAGCAGATTTTCCCAGAGCCCCAAGGTCTCCCTACCCCGTGGTAGGAGCAGCCCCAGGTTTCCGGAGGGATTGTGCTAGCGAGCAAGGCATTGCAGCAGAGAGTAGCGGCCGTAGGTGGTGGTGCTATGGAAAGGAGAAAGAGGAAGAAAGAAGGAGGTATGTTGGCCATGATTCCTGACAGCATGGTCTGGCCCCTTCCTTCCTTGCTTGCTTTGTTGTGCCATGGAAGGATGAACCACAACTGGTGAGCCCGTGTGCCATGAGCGGCACAGAGGAGCATCCTCAGCCTGAGAGCTGGCGGGCACGGTGTTGGAGGCTGCTGTCAGGGGTGTTGGTGTGGGTCCTTAGCAGGGGTAGCAGGCTCTTCCGCCAGAGATGCAGCCCAGGCCTCCGAAGCCAAAGCCTCCAAGGCCAAAGCCTCCGAAGCCGCCTCCAGAGACGGGCACTCCCTGGGCGCTGAGGTTGCTGCCCACGGCAGCTGATGCGGAGGATCCAACGGCGGTGTTCTGGGGGAAGGAGCTGAGGATGGGTCCTGGCAGGGTGACCAGCACGGCAGGAGGCTGGATGACGACGCGGGAGTCCTCGCACTGCCTGACACAGGGCTCGTTGCAGCTGTTAGCCAGCGGGGTGGGTCCGCAGGGGCGGCAGATGTCGTAGCAGGACATGTCTGTGGTGTGGAGGGTGCCTGGAAGAGAGGGTGTTGGGAAGGCGGACGGTGTTAGGGGTTTGTGGAGCAGTGTTGGGGGAGGACAACGGAGCAGCGAGGCCTGGGGTAGTGGGGAGCATGGCTTTGGGAAGGCAGAAGGGCTCATGAGGCTGGGGGGATAGTAAGGTTGGGGAGACAAGGCTGGTCAGGTGTGTGAATAATGGGAGTGGGGTTCAGGCTCACCTTGTTGGTCTCAGGGGAGAAGGTGTCGGGAGGATTGTGTGAGGGTGCTACGAGCAGGGCCGGCTTTTATGCTGGTCCTTGAGTGCCTTTGGGGCAAGAAACCCTTTGCGCATGACAGCATTTGGTATGAGGTGCTCTTACATGCCAAACCCTGGCAAGTAATGAGGTGGGGTGTGTTGTCGTTCCCACAACGCTCTGGTGTCCTTTTCTCCTGTTGAGGATGTGTCTCTGTGACCATGGCGGCAGCTTTTGAGAGTGGCTCTTTGGGTGGATTTGCATGGAGCGTGCATTTGAGGGCAGTCGGCAGACGCGGCCAAAGCATGGGAGAGGTGGGGTGTCATGAAGTGAGGTTATGGCGTGTCACTCGTGTGCGTGTCACTCATGTGGTGTGACTCCACAAGGGGCCTCACCGGTGCTGAGGAGAGATGACGGAGTGCCTTCCTCAATTTGCTGGCAACGCTCTTCCCCATGCCCTCCTGGAGCCTGGTGGCCTCTTTTGCCGCAAGGCTTCATTGTTGACTCATCGTCAGTTTGCTCTCCAACAGCAACACAAGGTCCTGCTCGGCAAAGCTGCCTCCCCTGTGTCGGACAACACCATGTCCTGCTGCCTGGCGTTAGTCCTCCCCACAGGCAGCAAATTGCTTCGCCCCTTCTGCAACTTCATGATGTTCCTCTCTGCCCAGTTCTCCAGCCTCTGCACATCATTCTGAATGGTGCCACGTTCATCACGTGCATCAGTCTCTCCTCCCTGTCTTGTGTCATCTGCAAACTTCCTGCGGGGTCACTCCATCCCATCACCCACCTCACTAATGAGGATATTGAACACTGCTGGCCTCGCAGCTGAGTCCTGGCCCATACCGCTAGGGCCTTGCCTCTAACTCCGCTCTGTGCCATTCAGCACAAGCCTCTGCACCTAAACAATCGGCCACCTTTCAGCCAACCTCAGCGTACCTTTATCCAACCCATACTTTGTTTGCTTTTCTATGAGCGTGTCATGGGAGCAAGTGCCAAAGAAAGCCCTTACTACATACAGGCTTTCCTAAAGTTGAGCAGCTGCCACTGCTTTTTCCTCATCCACCAAGCTGGTCACTTCAACGTAGAAGACGCTGAGGAGGTTCCGTGTGACTTTCCCTATGTAAATCCTTGCTGACTACTGCCCATCACATTCTGGTTCTTCGTCTGCTCAACAACGCTTTCTGGGACAATTTCCTTTAGAACCTTCCCAGCAACTGAAGTCAGGCCAACCAGCCTCTGGTTTCCTAAACCCTTCCTTCTTCACCTTCTTGAACACAGGAGCGGGGCGAGTCTCTTCCAGCCTTCAGGAGCCTCTCCCACTCACCAGGACCTTTCAAAGAGAATTAGTAGTGGCCTCCCAAGGACACCACACCGTGCCCTGAGCAGTCCTGGCTTCAATGCAGTAGGCCTCACGGACCATGGCACACCCAGTTGCACAGCCCCCCTTCCTACCTTGCTTCATCTTCCTCAGCAACCAACACTACTCACTTCAGCAGCAAGCCAAATCCACCCCAGCCGAATGGGGACAGGCCTTGCCAGTCCACAGCCATGCCAGGACCACCCATAAAAGAGGCGCTCACAGCTGCGGCCCGGCGCACCATCCATGCCTCCAACTGCCTGCTGCAGGGTCCAAACCCTCTGTCTTACCATCAAACCTGGGCAGGGAAAGGGTCTCACCCTTGGACGCTCAGCACCGAACAAGACCCCAAAAGCTCTGCCTCAGTCTCCATGACAAACCACTCCCCCTCAGCTCAGGGCTTGCAAGCTCTCAACCAGGCCTGAGAGGACAACGTCCTGCAGTCGCAAACACCTCTCCTCCGCATGATCAAACTACCACCCCCAAGCTGCCAAAAGAAGAAAACTCGCAGCCGCCCTTCTCCCACAAAAGGACCTTTCAGGCACAAAGGCCACCAAGCCACCAACTCATGTAGGACACCCAATGTGAAAGATGAGGAACAAACACAAGCGTAGGGAGTGTACAGGAAGGCAAGGAGGGAGCGGGTGTGATGTCAGTACCAGCGCCTCGTGCCCAGCACATCTGGGAAGCGCAGACCAGTCAGTATTATGGCGATGCCAGCAAATAGGGCCCCCTCCTCGCAACAATGCAGCCGCAAACAGCACCGCACGAGTGACACGCCATGACCTCACTTCATGACACCCCACCTCTCCCATGCTTTGGCCGCGTCTTCTGACTGCCCTCAAACGCACGCTCCATGCAAATCCACCCAAAGAGCCACTCTCACTTAAAAGCTGCCGCCACAGCCACAGAGACACATCCTCAACAGGAGAAAAGGACACCAGAGCATTGTGGGAAGGACAACACACCCCACCCCATTACTTGCCAGGATTAGGCATGTAAGAGCACCTCAAACCAAATGCAGTCATGCGCAAAGGGTTTCTTGCCCCAAGGCTCTCAAGGACCAGCATAAAAGCAGTCCCTGCGCGTAGCACCCTCACACACTCCTCCCGACGCCTTCTTCCGTGCAACCAACAAGGTGAGCCTGAACCCCACTCCCATCCTTCGCCCACCTGACCAGCATTCTCTCCCCAACCTTACTATCCCCCCAGCCTCAGAAGCCCTTCTGCCTCCCCAAAGCCATGCTCCCCACTACCCCAGGCCTCGCTGCTCCGTTGGCCTCCCCCACCACCGCTCCACACACCCCCAGTACCCTCCGCCTTCCCAACACCCTCTCTTCCAGGCACCCTCCACACCACAGACATGTCCTGCTACGACATCTGCCGCCCCTGCGGACCCACCCCGCTGGCTAACAGCTGCAACGAGCCCTGTGTCAGGCAGTGCGAGGACTCCCGCGTCGTCATCCAGCCTCCTGCCGTGCTGGTCACCCTGCCAGGACCCATCCTCAGCTCCTTCCCCCAGAACACCGCCGTTGGATCCTCCGCATCAGCTGCCGTGGGCAGCAACCTCAGCGCCCAGGGAGTGCCCATCTCTGGAGGCGGCTTCGGAGGCTTTGGCCTTGGAGGCTTTGGCTTTGGGGGCTATGGCTTGGGAGGCCTGGGCTGCTTCTCTGGCAGAAGAGCCTGCTACCCCTGCTAAGGACCCACGCCAACACCCCTGACAGCAGCCTCCAACACCGTGCCAGACAGCTCTCAGGCTGAGGATGCTCCTCTGTGCCGCTCATGGCACACGGGCTCACCAGTTGCGGTTCATCCTTCCATGGCACAAAAAGCCAGCAAGGAAGGAAGGGGCCAGCCCATGCTGTCAGGAAACATGGCCAACATACCTCCTTCTTTCTTCCTCTTTCTCCTTTCCATAGCACCACCACCTACGGCCGCTACTCTCTGCTGCAATGCCTTGCTCGCATGCACAATCCCTCCGGAAACCTGGGGCTGCTCCTACCGCGGGGTAGGGAGACCCTGGGGCTCTGGGAAAATCTGCTCTACGCAAGGGACATAGGCTTCTGGTTGCCCTCCAGGCACTTCAGAATGTGCACCCTAACGCTCGCTCTGTTTCATGTTTTCCTCAATAAAATCAATCTGCATCCCATATCTTCAGATGCCTCCTTTTGCTTCCTTCTCCCAACGCTCTTCCAACTTTACCCAACAAAGAGGACAAAAAGCAGGTCTCAAGTGGTCATCAGGGCCCAAGCCTCTTGGTGTTCAAGAGGCATTTGGACAACGCTCTCACATAGCTCCTTCTCACTACCATGGAAAGATTCGACGGTTACTCAGCAGATAAGGAATTGCGTGCATGGTCACATCTCCAGAGTTGCGCTCATCAGCTCGGTGCCCAGGTGGACACCAGGGAGAAGTGGTCCCTCTGGGGTCACTATTGAGGCCATTCGTATTTAACAGAATTGTCCTTCACACAGATACCACACATATGGTGCAAGACTCCTCATGGATTGTGGATGCTCCTTTGCGACGTCCCTGATGCACTGGGTCATCAGCTCCACAAGCACAGCTATTTCTCTCAAGACATGAACCAGAGAAGCAAGGACGTAGACTATTTCGCAATGTTTGGAAACATGGCTCACTTACATTCTACCATTCTCCCACTTCTTTCCTTGACTTGCATTTACTCCGATGTCTGGTTCTCTCTGCTGCTATGATGGGCTCAAAAGCCAAACACCACCAGGGATGGACTCCCTCTCCACTGCTCCCATCACAGGGCAGGAAGATCTCCGTGCTCTGGGAAAATCTTCTGTGCACAAGGATGACGTTGTTGGTCAACCTACGTGCGTCCAAGACCCCCCAGGGATGTTCCACTTGCTGCTCCTTCCTTTCCATGCGCTTTCGTCAATAAAGGTCTAAAGGTCTCATGCCAGGCTGACGCTCCTCCTCTTCCCTTCTTCTTCCCACTTCCCTCACTACAAAGCCAAAGCTCAAGAGGTCATCGGGGCAAGTCAAAAACGGCCACCACACCTTGCAGCACGTCACACAAGACCTACACTTCACCAAAAAAAGGCTTGGGCACTCAAAGGCTCTGCTGCACATGCCCTCTGAAACAATCTCTCCGTGTCAGCACACAATCAACTGCTTTCTCACCCAGCAGCATTCTCCTGCATTGACAACAGATGCAGCCACAGAATCCCTTCCGTTTGGAAGTAACCTCTGGAGACCATTGTATTGCCAGCGCCCTGCTCGAGCACATGCAGCTAGAGCAGGCTGTCCAGGACCATGTGCAGTTCCTGGGTTTCTCATATCTCCAAGGATGGAAATCCAAAACTTGAGGTCCACTGCTTGACCACTCTCACAGCGAAAAAGGGGTTCCCTCTCTTCCAAGGCAATTGCTTCTCTGTGGCGTCCACTCACCCTTGTCCTGGCAGCTGGCAGTAATTGAATTTAGTCTGGTTCCCTTGTCTTCATTCCCGCCCATCCGGGATTTAGAACAAGGAGGAGATTCAGCCTGAGCACCCTTCTCTGTGGGTTGAAAACACCCAGCTCTCTCACCTTCTCCTCATATTGAAGAGGCTCAAGGCCCTTCAGCATCTTGGTAGCAATGCATTGCAATTGCTCCAGCCTGTCTGCTTCGACTTTCCACTGGGGCACCTCAAACTGGACAAAGGACTCCACAAGGAGCCTCACCGGTGCTGAGGAGAGATGACGGGGCGCCTTCCTCAATTTGTTGGCAACGCTCTTCCACATGCCCTCCTTGAGCCTGGAGGCCTCTTTTGCCTCAAGGCTGCATTGCTGACTCAAGGTTCCGTTCAGTAAAGCTGCCTGCCACTATAAGTCTGGTTACATTCAATGTATCTTGAATTATCACCATCATGCATGCACAGTTACTGCAATAAGCATTATAAGCACAATTACACAATCACGATCACGGACTCACAAATAAGAGAATACACTTTCAGTCTAGTAAATTAGAAGCAACAGGAGTACAAGTTCTTGTTCACCAAAAGGCCATGCTTTGGTTATCCGTTTGAGCCAGAGCTGCCCATGCAGTCTGTCAGTTCCACAATACCATCTGGTTCCTGATCCCAGAAGGGACGTCACAGTCTGGCCACAGTGCCTTTGCTCTGCTCCACTCTCCATACTGTGTCTCTTAGACTCAGCACACCAAGATTCCCTGGTGTTACGGACATGTAGGGTTGCAGGCTTTGTTGCCAAAGACAATACCTTGTAAGTACTTCATTGCGTATCCTCCACATCTGAGCCTTGAAGTTTCCTCAACACTGAACCATCTCTTGAGAGGTGAACAAGTGTTTAGCCTCACCGAGACACCTCCGGCACTTATTCTAAAATTTCAAATAGATGTCTCTCCATTTTAGTGAGACATCAGTCTCACTAAACTCTCAACTAACCTCTCAAGACAACCTAGCTGTTGAGCGCAACTCTGGAGATGTGACCATGCACGCAATTCCTTATCTGCTGAGTAACCATTGAATCTTTCCACGGCAGTGAGAAGGATCTATGTAAGAGTGTTGTCCAAGCGCTTCTTGAACACCGAGAGGCTTGGGCCCTGATGGCCACTTGAGCCCTGCTTTTTGTCCTCTTTATCAGGTGAAGTTGGAAGAGCGTTGGGAGAAGTAAGCAAGAGGAGGCACCTGAGGATATGGGATGCAGATTGACTTTATTGAGGAAAACATGAAACAGAGGGAGCGTCATGTAGGAGGTGCACATTCTGAGGTGCCAGAAGGGCGACCACCAGCCTATGTCCCTTGCGTAGAGCAGATTTTCCCAGAGCCCCAAGGTCTCCCTACCTCGTGGTAGGAGCAGCCCCAGGTTTCCCAAGGGATTGTGCTAGTGAGCAAGGCATTGCAGCAGAGAGTAGCGGCCATAGGTGGTGGTGCTATGGAAAGGAGAAAGAGGAAGAAAGAAGGAGGTATGTTGGCCATGTTTCCTGACAGCATGGGCTGGCCCCTTCCTTCCTTGCTTGCTTTGTTGTGCCATGGAAGGATGAACCGCAACTGGTGAGCCCGTGTGCCATGAGCGGCACAGAGGAGCATCCTCAGCCTGAGAGCTGGCTGGCACGGTGTTGGAGGCTGCTGTCAGGGGTGTTGGCCTGGGTCCTTAGCAGGGGTAGCAGGCTCTTCTGCCAGAGAAGCAGCCCAGGCCTCCCAAGCCATAGCCTCCCAAGCCTCCCAGGCCAAAGCCTCCGAAGCCGCCTCCAGAGACGGGCACTCCCTGGGCGCTGAGGTTGCTGCCCACGGCAGCTGATGCGGAGGATCCAACGGCGGTGTTCTGGGGGAAGGAGCTGAGGATGGGTCCTGGCAGGGTGACCAGCACGGCAGGAGGCTGGATGACGACGCGGGAGTCCTCGCACTGCCTGACACAGGGCTCGTTGCAGCTGTTAGCCAGCGGGGTGGGTCCGCAGGGGTTGCAGAGGTCGTAGCAGGACATGTCTGTGTTGTGGATGGTGCCTGGAAGAGAGGGTGTTGGGAAGGTGGAGGGAGTTGTGGGTGTGTGGAGCGGTGGTGGGGGAGGCCAAGGGAGTGGGGAGGCCTGGGGTAGTGGGGAGCATGGCTTTGGGAAGGCAGAAGGGCTCATGAGGCTGGGGCGAGCAGCCGCGTGGGGCGGTAAGGCTGGTCGGTTGGGCGAAGGATGGGAGTGGGGTTCAGTCTCACCTTGTTGGTTGCAGGGGAGAAGGCGTCAGGTGAAGTGTGTGAGGGTGCTACGAGCAGGGCCGGCTTTTATGCTGGTCCTTGAGTGCCTTTGGGGCAAGAAACCCTTTGCGCATGACTGCATTTAGTATGAGCTGCTCATACATGCCTAATCCTGGCAAGTAATGAGGTGGGGTGTGTTGTCGTTCCCACAACGCTCTGGTGTCCTTTTCTCCTGTTGAGGATGTGTCTTTGTGGCCGTGGCGGCAGCTTTTTAGTGAGAGTGGCTCTTTGGATGGATCTGCATGGAGCGTGCGTTTGAGGGCATTCGGCAGACGCGGCCAAAGCATGGGAGAGGTGGGGTGTCATCAAGTGAGGTCATGGCGTGTCACTCATGCGGTGCTGTTTGCGGCTGCATTGTTGCGAGGAGGGGGCCCTATTTGCTGGCCTCACCATAACGCAGGCTGGTCTGGGCTTCCCAGATGTGGTGGGTGCGAGGCGCAGGCATTGATGTCACTCTTGCTCCCTCCTTGCCATCGAGCCCTCTCCTTACACTTGTGTTCATTCCTTGTCTTTCACCTTGAGTGTGCTTCATTGGTCGGTGGCTTGGTGGCCTTTGTGCCTGAAAGGTCCTTTGTGGGAGAAGGGAGGCTGCGTGTTTTCTTCTTGTGGAAGCTTGGGGGTGGTAGTTTGATCATGTGGAGGAGAGCTGTTTGAGACAGCAGGACGTTGTCCTCTGAGGCCTGGTTGAGAGCTTGCAAGCCCTGAGCTGAGGGGCAGTGCTTTGTCATGGAGACTGAGGCAGAGCTTTTGGGGTCTTGTTCGGTGCTGAGCGTCCAAGGGTGAGGCCCTTTCCCTGCCTAGGCTATGATGGTCAGACGCAGTGTTTGGACCCTGTAGTGGGCAATTGGAGGCATGCATGGTGCTCAGGGCCACAGCCGTGAGCCCCTCCTGGCTTGGTGGTCCTGGCATGGCTGTTGAGTGGCAAGGCCTGTCCCTGTTCGGCTGAGGTGGATTTGGCTTGCTGCTGAAGTGAGTAGTGTTGGTTGCTGAGGAAGATGAAGCAAGGTAGGAAAGGGGGCTGTGCAGCT